AATCGACAGTATTAAACAAAATTTAAGATAAATAAATTGTAAATCTCGATTTTTGGACATAGTTATGGCATGCCCTTTTCGTCAGATTTATATATACCGGACATCGTCGTCAGTCAAAATAGATACTTTCTGGTTGGGTTACTAATAATTCTGTGAACTTTTCAACTAATTTTAATAATCAAGTAATAATCTGATCATTGCTTTCGTTTTAATTTACAGATGTACACGATACGATTTTCCTCAAAAGAAAACTATTTACAATTATTTCTAAGCCCTCATTTCTCATATTAATAACTCCGAAAGAAACAAAATCTTATTATTAATGCTTGCATAGTGATAGCTAGCAATATGCATATGTTGTGAAGGATGAAGGATGCACATATAAAATTGTTACCAAGTTTTTCATTGATATGGTCGTCGATTTCGTGATCATGGGCGTTTAGTTATTTAACAGTAATTACTCGTCAGTATACCGAATAGGTGAATATGTCTTTAGGGTTACACTCTGGACGGGAGCTGTTTATGGGCCGGTGGTCACCTTGCCTTGGATCACCGTATAAAGATATATCTGACGAGGTCGCCGCGTTACCCAACCGACCGCTTGAGTTGCCTTTTCTGCTATCATTTGTTTATTTCTTTCAGAGTTATCAGTATGAGAAATGAGAAATCACGGGCTGCTAATATTAGAAAGTGACTTCATATATTTTTTTAATTTTTTATTTGTTCCATGGATTAAAAAATTGGACAGTTAAATATGTAAAAGTTTTGGGTTTATTTGCTGACTTTCTTACCAGCGTGTGATATAAGTTAAATGTTATAGGTAGTTTCAGTTTTCGTAATTATCATCGATTTGTTTAGAAAAAAGGTTCAAGTAGTGTATATGTCATAAACCTTGCAAAAAGTGTGTTCTCTCAAGACGACATTGCTTATGCGACAATTGTCACTGCAAACCAATTAAGGTCTCCAGTTAGCCTCCAAACATTTGCAAATGGCGTATATTCGACCCAGTTAACAATAATATAAAGTAGTAGTAAATATTAAACTAGTATACAACGACTAGAGATCTTAGGGGGTCGATGCAAGTTACACCTCAAGCAGCGATGGTAAATTTTTGTGATATTTTCTAAAAGAGGGAGTGGAAATAACTTACAACATAAAATATCATCAATGAAGATAAAACATAAATATTAGAAAATAAACATCGAAAAATAAATTAGGTACTCTTTTAAATATAACAAATTTTAATATTTAGTTTGGAGAAACTTACATTTTACCATATGAATGATTTGCTTATAAGGGGAGTTTATAAAGTTTGGTAACGTATTACTTGAAGTTTGAACGCCCTCGATTTCAAAATTGCTTGCATCTCACTAGTTCTCGTATAACATTTCCTCTAAAATTCCGCTAGAAGTTTATCGTCCGTGCCCACATTGAGTAAGCGTCGCAACCGAGTGCGGGCCACCTCCGCTGTATGCTAAACAAACGCGAAAGCAGCACTGCCGTTCATTAAAACCACGCGAGGTCGCGTTTTGTAATAATACGCTAGCGTAGTTAGATAGTGAAATGATGACGCTATGATGTATGTTAAATACAATGGCGTGGTGTATTTTGTTTAAAGAAAAGCGGCTGGGAATCTTTCCTTGCCCAATTAGATGTTTGCAGCAACGTTGTTATAGTTTCGGTTTTGCTATCATACTTATGAAAATATTGAATAATTTGTAAACCTAACTGAAGGTGTTCTTTTGATGTGCGAAAGTGGCAAGGGAGCTGGTGGTTCACTTAATGTTGAATTCACCGCCCATTGACATTTGTTACACGCGTAGAATTACAGATGTGCCACCTTTTAATAAAATGGGCTGCGGTTACCTCACTCACCAGACGAAACGCAGAAGTATTACACTACCACTTCACGCCGGTCTTCTATGGGGTCCTGGTACTTCCCCGGAAGAACTGCCCATTCGTGCAACAGAGAACTGTTGCGTGGCCGCATCACGGATAAAATTAACACAGTTGAATATTTATAGTTACAATGGTAACAAATATACGGATTTGTTTCGAAAAACTTATAGAAATTTGGTAATGTTTGCGTAACGGTCCGTTTCTCTGGTCCTGTAGGACGTTGCAACAGAAACAACACGAAGAACAGGACGAACAACAGAAAGAACAAAACAACATGAACAATGGACCTCATTTTCACAAAAATATATGTATATTTTTTGTAATGAATCGAAAAAATGGAATCGCCCTAGCATAGGACATGGATCTTTAAGTGAACACCGCAACACATGGTCACTCACAGTATCAGAGAAGTTACAATCGCGTTGCCGTCCAATGGGGAGTAGGCCCCCTTTTTGAAGCTCCTTAAGCCGTACCAGCCTGGTATTTATGATATAGGATCTATCTTTAACCTAGCCAAACAAAAGTTCTAGAAAGGGGAGTAGGTCGATTCCCTCATTTCTCGCGAACGATTGTTTGCAGAATTGCTATCGTACTGCAAGAAATCGTGGAATGTGCATCGTGCTGTTGAGTGTTTGAATTTGTTAGCGCCGCATGACGAGATAACGTCGATCATACGGCCGTAGGGTCATCCGGCCCGCTAGAGTTCCATTATCGGAACTATTGTGCGCTTACGCAAATGACAACGATGACGCCATGCACCAAATAGGCGAGACACAAGCGGCTACCAAAAGGAAACGTAGTCAAAGTAATTATAGTTAAGTTAGCGAGTTATTTATCTTTTTAGTTGATGGTCCAATGAACAGTGTACTGCGGTTTAATAAGTGAGCTTTAGGCCTTTCCGAATTTCTGTATACAAATACATCATATGATAAACTCATCACATTTCAAACGTTTCAGTTTTAATTATTATTTAAAACTGAAACACGTGAAATGTGATTAGTTTGGTGAAGTGTGGATTTGTTGATAGTATACGATTATATTTACAGTCGCCTTCTTTTTGTACAAAACTAAAAATGGAAAATAACCGCCTATATATTATGTCCTCCCGCTGAGTAAACTTCTGTAAAGAGGTATTAGGGTATATTTTTCTTATTAATATTTCGAAAATATGAACATTTTCTCACAATCTCACACTGTCTTGTATCTTGTATCTTGTATTAACTGATGTTTTTGCTTTCAGTCCCGAGACTATTAAAGCTTCATCTGACGCAGAACCGGTGGGCTAGCCAGAACCCACGGGTTTGCGCCCTCCGCTGTGGGTAGGGCCACGCATGTGCTCATGCGTGCGTTTAACTACGACATGTCATCTAAGGGCCATCGAAGTTGCGGTGCGGACCGAGTCCCCGATGGCCGTCGACTGTGTTTTTAGCTAATCGGTGGCTGGGGGCGGTGAGAACCGCCCTGGAACGCGGGTGTACCTTGTGTACGCGTTGTGTTGGTCTCGCCGTGCTCGGAGGCGAGGGCGAACTATTGTGTTTGTTGTTACACTAGCTGTGGGTGTAGTGTTATCCGGCGGGACCCCCGGCGGTGGGTCCGGCGTATCTAAGTCCCCTTCCTCGACCGGGTCGATGAGGACGTTTCGCGGGCGAACCTTGTTGACGTTCGCGTTTGTGTCGGGTTGGTAATTTGCTGCGCTTACCACCAGAGGGTTGGGATGATGTTCGGCTCTATCGAAGAACCGTTTGGTCAGGTCTTTAAAATATTCGCGAATCGTCGGGAGTCTGCAATCGCTGTGCAGGTCGACGTTGCGTTGATACCACTGCGCACCGGTTGCACGGCGGTTGAACTTATTACCTTTTTTTTTTCTCACAGTGTTGTCCTTCACCGCTAAGCAGGCGATAATTCAACACTTGAAAAATTGTGTTTAAAAATGTGATGGTAGCTGGCACCGGGATTTGATCTCGGTTTTTTGAGTATGCTAGATTAAAAACTAGCGTCCGAACACTGAACTATCACGGTTTTAGCATTTCTATACACTATTTTATTGTTGTTATACGTGAGGAATTACCGGGTGTGTGTACGTGTATTTTAAAATATACAAAGTATGTTATGAATTGTCACACCCTAATGGTTGGAGACATTACGAGCGATAGTGTCCATAATTAGCGCCACGTTGTAAAGTGACCCCAAATTATGGTTTATATGGGCATGTGCTATTATCATATACGTGTGTGTGGGTTTCCTTTCAATAATTATTATGGTCATTACTTTAGCGTATGTAAGAGATACTGTTTAACGATTCTCCGCCCCCGCCCCCCACTCCTCTTAATTGTTTCATCCGAGATGTGTGACTCGATCACTGCCTGCGTAGCTTTATTTAAAGTAACTTTGACCTCGTCTGACGTTTTGCTTGAGATATAATGTTTGTGGGTTCGTCTTTGTACGTAACTTTTAAGACGCTATCGATTAAGGTCATTTTCATACAATACGATTGTTTCTCCCAGAGGGGTCGTAGTTGTTAGGATGCGACGTCATCGCTTGTATCGGATTTTCATTTATCCGAAAATAAACGAGAAGAAAATTAAATTTTGCTTTTGTCTAAGAGAAAATTTGCAATATGTCGACTCTGTTAATTGACATTTGTGCAAGAGTCATCTAATTTGGCCATATTACTCACCGTCAGACTTATTTCGTCTAATTGGTGATGAATGCATTATGTTCAGTTTTATGTTTTCTTGTTACCCGTTTCGTCATTTTTTCTTAGCTGTATTGCCTTCCCCAGACTATAACTATGTATATATTTACCTAAAGGCGCATAATAAACGTGATGTACTGTAAAATGTAATAGTTTTCTTTTGTTTAACATTATTTCTTTAACTTAACAAAAGAAAAATTATGCGACTGCATTAGATAACATCGTAAAAGTTTCTCTCATATTATTTTCCAAACGCGCCAAAAGAAGTTTAACTTCAAAAAGTAATTGAAATTCTTGTGTTACTCTGAGTCCTACTTAAACTTGAATAGCAAATCATTATCTTGATTGGAGATGAAAAAAAGTGTGATGTAATAGATAACCGATGTCTTTGTTCGGGTACTTTCAGGTGAAGCCAAGAACTTGCCAGCTCGCAATAATGGCGCGGCCTGTCACCGTGACATATACTGTGTGCTGTCACTCGATCAAGAGGAGATATTTCGCACTTCCACAATGGAGAGAACGCTTAAGTGAGTGAAGTTATTTAACCTATTTGCAGAGCTCTACACAAGATAGCGTTGGTACACGCCTTCGTATGCACGTCAGAATATTTAAACGGCGAAATATGCATAGTGGACTTACGGTCTCTCACAGCTATAGGATTAAATTCACTATTTTATGAAGTTTCGTCTTAAAAGCTAATTCGTCGTCAGTATTGATCACAATCAAACTACTCGGTATTGGTTACTGGATAATTTGATATAAATTATGTTTTCATGTAATCTTAAAAACGTGTTTATTGATTATATTTTATGGGACTGATATTGACTACGATGTAAGAGTAAAGTTAATTGAACGAAAGTATTCGAAATAATTTTAATTGTGGAAGAAAACTCTAAAGAAAGACATTGTGGTGGGTTATGAATTTTTTTTTATAATAGGCCCAACACAAACAAGTTCCAACAAGTGATGTCATATGACCGGAATAACGGTCCCTTTGTAGAATATCCGGACGGGCTTCCGGCATTATCTATCGGACGGGAGCGTTGCCGTCGCAATTGGGGAGCGAGCACAAATTTACTAGGTCAAGGCCCGTCCACAACAAAAATTACGACTGTTATAGGAGCGCGCATTACTTCAATGGTACTAAGTTCGATTGAGCACCACAGATTACAAATGAAGATTCAGCACAGATTCTCTCGATATAAGTTATGGGACGTAGAAATTTTTATGTCCGACTGAAGTTCGTCCGAGTTCTTCCCGTGCAGTATATAGTTTGACCGGCTACGTACGGAGTGCAGATTGGCTAATCGCTTTCTGTCTCCCTTCCACTACATAACGTGTAGTGGAAGGGAGTACAGCCGCGGAAAGCGTTGCTGTTGGGGTTTTACTTATATAATAATTATTTTCGATATCAGATAGCCCTACCCTTAAGCGATTTTCGCACTGACGACACAAACACAGAAATACCTGAGCTGAGATCGCTTGTCGCATTTTAGCTATACGCTTTGTTAGTTCAGCTGTATTATGCCCGTGCGCTGTGTTGAGAACAATTATTGAGAGTACTACATACGCCCAGTTGTTTTTACAACGCTTGCACAACTGGTATCCACCGTGTCACCATAAACCGCTCGCTGTATATAACAACAATTATGAGAATCGTCTGGTGTCGACTTTGCCTTAGGCTCGCGTTGCTTTCAGATAGTGTGACAGATACTCTATCGGATGTCGGAGGCAGTTACCTTATCGGTCTCGCATTTATTTATGAATGATATCGTAGACTTATGCTTCATTGATAGCACTCTCGTCAATAAACGAGCATATTAAAATCGTTATACCATAACTTTTTTATTATATGTGATTACTTCTGAATTAGTCTCTTATTATATTTCATAACTTTGTATCATTTTTATAAGTAACGTAAACTTGGCTTTATATATAAACTTTGTCACAAATTGTCTCTGGTAGGTATTAAATTACAAAGGGCGCTATATTTTTATTTCCCGTAAATAAAATGATATTTATATTTTTAACTGACTTCATAAAAGGAGGGGGTTACTAAAATTAGTTTGTTTGTGTTTTATGTTTCTTTCCTTCAAACTCCGTTATGTATGAACCGATTTACAAAATTATTTTTACATCGGGTTTGGTTTAGCACCCACGTGGTCCCATATAATTTTCAATGCTATTTATTATACATTAGAGAACTCAAAATAGAACAGGAAAATAATGTATAATGAGTGAGATATTTGAAGTCTGTTTTATTTTTTGTTAATAAAAATGTTATACTAATCATTCTTTAGTTTAAAGTTGTACGTACGTCTGAAATGTACACGTTTCAGAATCCTTATGTATTTTTCATGAAACGTTTCCGTGATTATTTTCTCCCTTCTTACGCAGTGTCAGTTTTATTAATAAAAACATGCGCGCGATTTCCGAAAGCACTGTTGAATATAGGTGTGTCACCTTCTAGGAACATTCATTTAGGATTTCTCGGCAGCCGACGCTCATCTTCGAATGTAGATACTTAATTTGTCTCAGCAATACGCGAGAATTGCAAAACAACACGGTCGTGGAATCGATATCGTATTTGTAAAATGGCGAAAAAATAAAGGAAAATCTCCATTATCTTCGGAAACAATAGCTTTTGTTTCATTTCTGAGATTATTGTCGGCTCGAGTGAATCGAATTTGTCTAATAATAAAGTCATACTGAACATTATTAATTACACTTCTAATTGTTGTTCTACTTTGCTGTCTCACAATCGGTTTATCTTATTATGTTTGAAGAAGAATTCAAAACATATTTTTTGAATTACACTCACTCTAAAGGCCCATTTACACGGTGCAAGTTTCTTGCCTGTTATATACAATTAAATTGAAGCACTAAATGAGTTGCATTGTCTAAACAGCACATAAAGGCCCATTTACACGATGCCATTTTCTTGTACATACAAGAGCAATAATTGAATGCAATAAGTTGCACGCAATAATTGACCATCAAGAATTGTAAGCAACAGTTTACACGCAGATATAGTAAAAAAAATTGAATGCGATTATTGATGCAAGTCTTGACAAGAAATAATTGCAAATGTCTTTTGTTTACACCAATGCAATTATGTTAGGCGATTATTGCTTTCAAGTTTTGACTTGTCTAAACACATGCTTGTATGTGCGTGTACAATTTATTGGCGTGTTGCTTCAAGTATTGCACGTATTTGCGTTGACAAATTTTTCATGCAAGTGTTGAACGTTTTACAAAGGGCTGTTTTTTTTTAAAAAATGGCTCAATAATAAGTGTTCAAGTTAGATTATGCTGATTAAATATATTTCATTGAGATTTATTTATTATGATCCATATATTATTATTCATATTTTTATCCAACTTTTTTTACGACCTTTTCTCAATATTTCTTGCCTCAAAAGAACAGCAACGATTAAATACCCTCACTCATTGCACTCATTTTTGCAAGGAAGAGAGAATGCAATTGAATACAAGAATTGCTTAAGAAATTATTGTGTGTGCTGTTTACACCAAGGAAAGTTTTGAAACAAAACTTGAAGCAAGTCTTGTTCAACAGTCAAGAATGTTATGTGCTGTTTAGACAATGCAACTCATTTATTGCTTCAATTTAATTGTATACAACAGGCAAGAAACTTGCACCGTGTAAATGGGCCTTTAGGAAACAGATTCATTTGACTGTTCAAGCTAATACGAGCAAAGCATAATGCACATAGTCGGCCGTTTTGGCGGGAGCGAGCTCCACGGGATGACGTGGGCGTGCGCCGTTTCGGGATTAGGAAAGGGGAGGGTTTCGTAGTGCGCTGCTGCGGCGCGCCGCGTCCCGGATGCGTTTCCGGCGAGAGCGCGCCGGCGCGGAACGTCCCTTCCGCTCCAACCCTCCGGTTCGCTTTTTGAATGGGACCGTTGCGACGCTATCGAAACTCTTTCGTTTGACTCGTACAGAACGGCTGCCTGACTACGCGTGACGAACTGATCGCGGACTTGATTACGTGGTGTACAGTTAAATGGTGAAAACATAAATGAAAATATCACTATTATCACCGAGAACTCTATGCAGGCGCCGTAAATGTTGTACATGGATAACCAAGTTTTACGTAATTTTTTGAAAGGATGTATTTATCTGTATTAAGAAACTGACGCGCGATATAATTTTGATAGGACGCCTATCGCATCCGTTTGCATTAGATTATTTGTAACATCTTCCTGTGGCATTAAAAAAATTATGAAACAATGTAAAGTTTGTATCGCGAGTATTATTATAACGTTATTTAAAAGATGATTACTGTACATTTTCTCTCGACCAAAGGTCGCGATATATTCTCGACGAGTTCGGGGCGCTATCGCGCGGGAAAGGGCCGTTTGTCAGCGTATGAAAACGGAAGGGCGATAACGATTTAGTGACCCCAGAGGTGAGCAGGATGCGATGGCAGATATCGTAGGAAACGTCACGTCACCCGTGAAGCGGTCCACTTAATGGGTTCTTTGTCTCGCGATACCTTATCGCCGAATGCTCGCTACCTATCTGTGGGCTAGTCTCACTTGCACCTCCTCCCCCGAGCATTCACTCTGCTAGAGGGCTGGATTGCGTCATTCGACGCGATCTGTGCGCGAACTAAAAATAAATCCAATATCGACGCGCTAATGTTACATTAAACGCTCCTTTCGCCGATAATATGGCAATAACAGGAGAACAATTAATGACTTAACGCGCTGTGTCTAACGCGCGATTCCAGCGACAGATCTACGCCGTAAAAGAGATGGGTTTTGTGCCCTCGCCGCACGTAAAGTGGCATATTGGAGTGGACGGAAGCGCTTTTATGGCTAATAAAGTAAACCGAAATGCCTATAGCGATTAGGGTCCATTTTCGTCCGCAAAATTCTATGTACAGCGGAAGCTGTTCGAAGCGGGTTACTCATTCATTTAACAAATTTATTATTCACTTGGAATGGCTATAACGATTTGTAATTAGAATTATATTGGGAGCAGTTTGTTGAATGAGCATATTCTCGTTTAAATTAAGCCAATAGGATTTCCTGGATGAAATTGAAAACACTCGTATGATTTGATTTTAGTGGCGAATTTTACACGTGGAACTGTTTGACAATGCGATTTTTGTACAATACGATCTGTTCGCCAAGTGTCTAAATATTTTTACTTGACTAATTTAGATGAATACAGCGACATTTGTATATGTTTGGTGCTTCAGTGAACGCGATTCGGCACCTCTTGGCATTATCTCGCCGTATTTATCTAAATATGACTTGTTTAGCTGCATACAGCGACAGTTATGCTGCATGTTTGGTGCTGGCGGCTCGTTTCGGCGTCTATTACGACGACCGACGTAGCGATAAACAGCGTAAAAAGCGCTTCCGGCCACCGGCGGCGCTCCTTCAGGTGCGGACCGTTCGTAAATCCCGAGCTCGCCGGAAGCTGCCAAGTGATAAATCGGCGTCGGAACAACGCGGCGCGTGAAATGATCATCGCCCACACAGAAATAGGCCGCGGGGGCGAGCTTGGTATTCTTTTATTTTAATTAAACAGGCGGTGCGAATGATGTTGTATGGTCAATTGGTCACCGCCGACATGGATGTCTTCTACGCCTGTGAGGTTGTAGATGCATCGCAATTAGAAGAGTGTGCCCCCGGTTACCTCATGCGCTAGACGAAATTCAAAAGTACGAGACGGCCCGATTGGTGTAGTGGATAGTGGACCTGTCTCCAGATGGTGTGGATTCGATCTCCGCTAGTGGAAAAATATTGTTTGATGGACATAGTAGATGGATCTAGTGTTTGGGTGCATATAAGTAACCTAGTACGCACAGTCAAATCTTTGCTTAGCTCGGGGGACTAGACAACGTTGTGTAAAAACATGAAGTATTTATTCACTTACAAATACTCCCATTTTACATCGGTGTCCCAGTTTACATAGCCCGGCCATTCGTGCAACAGCAGAAACTGCTGCGCGGCTCTATTCCATAAAAAGTGTGCGAACGGGCGACGCGCACAATGCGGCGTAGGTGTGGCCGGCTCCAATTATCGGATAGTCCATTTAAAAGTGCCCGCCGCGAACTCACCAACCCATGACTCATTGCCCCCTTATCGCCCGGCGTTAAGGGCGAAATTGGTCTGCTCCTTCTGCCGCGACGCATTCAAAGGTCATAATTTTCGTGACAGCGATAAGTCAAATAGTTATTTAACAAGCCACTCTTGCGGGATAATGTTGTTGCGACAGCTTTGCTGATGCCGCGTGAACCATTTCACGAGTCCTAGCTTACATAATGTTTAAGACGAACGGGTTTAAATTCCTATTGACAATTTTTTTTTAAATTAAACTTACGGTAGTTTTGTTTATTTGATACAAACCAATAAGAAATTCAAAACGTTCCGAAACTAAAAAGAGGACGCTTTTGGCGGCATTTTGCCCCGAGAGGAGTGACCTTGTTAAGTTACAAGCGAATTTATAGTAATGGACATCGGTATCAGAAACAATAATAATTAGCTTTGCGAAGGCGTAACTTTATAACAGCGCCGCCCCAGTCGGTCGATGGCGGCGCCTCCGTTTTATAAATACATACCAAGTTGACGCCGGATGTGTCCGATGGCTTGCGCCTAACACCGTTCAACGACTGTATAAACGATCAGAACTTCGAAAGCTTGTAATGAGGTTTAATTTTATGTACCCTCTAGCCCTATAACGTGGGCGCTTTAAAGCGATGTCAATGGGTTACTAGTGCATTACTTTCTTCGACAGGCCATCACTATATATAGGTTAAGCTTTACTGGCCGGATGCATACCTAATAGAAAAAAAAACCAAGCTGTACCATGATACTACTGGCAGATAATGTCCTATAATAAAAGTATAAATTTTAAATCTCGTTCGCTTTTTAAAATTTTGTCGTGTATTTCAATGCAATTCGTTGCGCTGTATCTTTGGAAGTGGAACAGTGGTTAAAAAGCGTATGCGTCTTCGTGGCCTCTCATTTTATGTTACTTAATAATCCTCATGTAATAGCTTATACGAACGTGATCTTAAATTTGGTCGTGGCAATCGTGCTTCGTGTTAAAGTACACAACATACAAACATGATTGATGGCGGCGAATGAACCGTGAGCCGAGCTAGGTTATAAAGACAATGTCAAACGCAAGCGATCATACGTAAACAAAACGTTGCTAAGTTGTGACTCACTGAATCACAATATCGCTTACCTGGAAAATTAATTCAAAATATCAGAAACTTACATATTTAACAGGGAAAGATATTTGCATAGTGTTGTGAAAAAGTACCTGATGTACGAATTGTTTTTGTTGCGAGGGATTCCTTTATTTTGTTTACGTTTCTGCTTTTCTATATAGTTGTAAATATCATATTTTATATTTCATGTGTAATTTTAATTTTTATATTATTCTGTAAAATTATGATATTAGAATAACGGAACGATTTTCTGGAATATTTCAATAAACTGACGGCCGTCGCCCAGCGCGCTTTACATTAATAACGCATTACCAAGAATGGAGAAAGAAGCCATGTCATAAAGTACGGTATGCCCAAAGTAAACAATCGGTTCTCGCGTTACTGTAAGTTTCTTACGAAAGTGTAATTTTAATAACAGCCTTTGAGCATTAACAAATTCGAAGGCGATCTTGCTTACAACAGCTCGGTTTGAAACTTTCACTTTTGTCGTGTGCCAAACCCACATACACATTTGTCCCGATTGTTTTCGACGTTCTCATCATTAGGAAATATTGTGTGTGCGTTGTGAAATTTGTTTTTCATTTTTAATAAGTACTACAAGTCATGTTATTTATTTTAATTCCCAGCCCCTTCTTCGGCGAGGAGTTCCAGTTCGAGGTGCCGCGCCGGTTCCGGTACCTGTCCATATACGTGTTCGACCGCGACAAGCACCTCAAGCAGGACAAGGTGCTCGGCAAGGTGGCGATCAAGCGCGAGGACCTGCAGCGGTACAACAACAAGGACCACTGGTTCGCGCTGCGGCCCGTCGACGCGGACTCCGAGGTGCAGGGCAAGGCGTACATCGAGCTCACCCTCGAGGACTCGAGGAAGAGGCTCCGCATGGACCCCAAGCCGCCGGACCCGGACGCGTCGTCCGACGGCGCCAAAGCGAGGGCGAACAACCTCATCAGGCTGTCTGAGTACTGCAAGGAGAGCATGCGCTTCGGCTCGTGCTCCAGCTCGACCAGTAAAAAGCTGCTGAGCGCGGTCGCAACGGAGCCCACGCTGGCGCTCTCCCGCTCGGAGAGCCTCAAGGACCGGGCGCAGTGGGTGCGAGCCAAGCCCCCGATGCACGCGATGCCCGAGCCGGACCCCGCCCACGCGCCCACCGCAGCCGACTACTGGTCGGACCCCGAGCGGCACTGCGCCGCGCGCGCCGGCCCCGACACGCTCCGCCTGCGCGTGCTCGAGTGCTCAGAGCTGACCACGAAGAACGGCCAGTGCGACCCGTTCGCCCTCGTGACGCTCCTGTACTCGAACGGCCGCAGGGTGGAGAGGCGCACGAAGCCGAGGAAGAAGACCGTGAACCCGCAGTTCGACGAGATATTCAGCTTCGACCTGGTGATGGAGGCCGACCCGAAGGACAGGGACGGCTCCCAGTCGGTGAGTGGTTCGCACCGATGCACGGTAGGGCGGACTGTTATGAACCGTTGCCCGATAGGACGGCAATCTTTATTTTGTTTATATGCTGAAGCGGCCAACGCTGGTAGGATGGCGGATGTATGTGAAAGCGTTCCCGTGCCAATATGCGTCCTGGGTGGAACATCGAGGGGGTTTTAGTCCGTGAGAGTTCAACATGCCCGCTCTTACCTCCTCAAGGGCGAGTGTGAGTTAAGCTTTTCCCCCACGCAAACAAAAAAGAAAAAGGGCGGTCTATGGTGTTCGTGTGAGACCTTCTATTATTGTGTGCATCGGTTTGTTCTTTGACAACAATTAAAAAATTGAGCGCCGCTTACCCGATGAAACGTGAAAGTATAATACTTCCACTTACGCTGATCTTCTGCGAGGCGGTAATTCCGCTGCTGCAGTTATAGCACACTCGTATGTTGTAGAATAACATTATTTTTAAAGCAGCTTTGCGAAAACCAACCTTATTCTCGGCCTTTAGAGTTCATTGTCCACTGTGCCCGTTCCCAGGCGGGAGTGGCGTGCGAGGCGCGCGTGTCGGTGTGGCACGACGCGGCGACGCCCGTCTTCCTCGGCGAGGTGCGTCTGCAGCTGCGACAGCCCGAGCCGTCGCCCATGTGCGCCTGGTACGTACTACCCACGTTTTGTTTATTTATTTTTATATCTATTGGGCACAAAACACAAGGTATAAGTCCGTCAGCTAACATGTTGAGAAAATATGTGGTTGAAGGTTGCTGGAAAAGGGGGGCTCCCTTTATAAATTCCCAATGGATTTCAAAAAGACCAGTTTGCCCGAGCGAAATTCTTCGCACATTCACAGTACCGCGACTGAGCGAAATCAGAAAGGTACGAACAATTTAATAAAATGATACTTTTAGAGATTATCTTCTAGAGTATTACATACTCAGTATTAATATAGTTATAGTGTAACTTCCTTCATCGATATAATTTGACACATCTGACGATATTTGGCAAAAATAACTTCGATTTACCACGTCACGTACGTTTTGTGTGTTTGTTAGTGTAAGATTGTCTCGTATGCAAATTAAAATAATGATATCTAATGTCCTGGATTATTATCACATACGGCATGATCTTTTTTAGAATTCGTAAAAAATAACTATCTCTTTCAAATCTCTCTTTCGGTGTGAAATACACCGCAGGCAAAAGGCTATTAATAATGATAATCGAAGCCGTTGGCTAAAGCTAGTTGAAAAGGTGGGCGCGTTCGATAGCGTTTTTTACCATCGTTTTGATCACGACTTTTACCATACGCAGGTTCTTCCTGACGTCACGAGCGGGCGGAGCCCTATCGCGTGGGGCGACGCCCCCCGGCACGAGGCTGTCGGCAGCGGGCAGCGCCACCCTCGGCTCTCTGCGGCTGCTGCTGCAGTACACCGTGGACCACGTCTTCCCCATACACCACTACCGTCAGCTGGAAGAGCTATTCCTCAGGAGCGTTCACCAGAAGGTGAGGCAATAAGTTACCTTTTATATCGAAACTCTTGTCACAGCGATGTTAATAACTGCTTATTTAATAATTTCTGACTTCTTGCCATTACTGTTAGGCAATGTGGAGTCCACATTGTGGAGTATTTTTTCCATTTTATTTGGATGTAAGAGAACACGGACTTTAAATGTACTTAGTCGGTAATTGTAAATGATATTCCCATAGTGTATACTGCTTAAATAATTCTTTATTGTGTTTTTTCTATGATACGGATATGTCAATTTCGAACACAGGTCTCGATAATAGTTTTAATATAAAAGAGTACAGTTACATTAAATAATTAAACCTTTATTTCTTTCAGCCTATAACGGCCTCCGCGGTGTACATCTTGGGCGAAATAGTATCAAGTAAAACGGACGCAGCGCAGCCTCTAGTGAGGTTGTTCACCCACCACGATCTCATAGTGCCTATCGTTAAGGAGCTCGCCGATGCTGAGATTTCTGTACTCACGTAAGTCACAAGATAAGGCCTAGTTTTGAGGGACAAAAAGGTCTTGCTCTAATTAAATTCGTCTTAGACAAGTTATTTGCTGGGTATTGATGATGTTTTTACAAGTTTCGGATAGTATAATTTTTTCCACATAATATATGAAATTATCAAGTATGGAAAAAGTTCACAATATATTCTGTACTCTTATACGTATTCATATCGACCACCCGTCGATCACTAGTCATTTACTTCGTCTACCTACGAGGTATCACGATCACAGTACAGGACGCACTGCGACCGCGGTCGATCGGACAACGTGATCACCACGGGATATCCGCGCGAATTTCAGTGACGCGACGACCATATTCCGCGGCAACACGCTCGTGTCGAAGATGATGGACGAGTCGATGCGGCTGAGCGGCGCGTCGTACCTGCGCTCGGTGCTGCGGCCCACGCTGGCCGCGGTGCTCGCCGAGCGGCGCCCCTGCGAGATCGACCCGGCGCGCGTCAAGCCCTCCGCCGCCGTCGCCGCCAACCTCGCCAACCTCAAGGACTACGTCGAGCGGGTGAGCGGCAGATAACCCGGCAGATAACACCTCACAGATAAACGCAACACGTGCAACGTTTTACTTTAAGCATATATTGAACGTCGAGAAGCTAACACTGGTTCACTAAATTAGACCTGTCCCATAAAAGAACCGACAAGAAACTCTGCGGTCTTGATATCTTATAAACTTATAATTTCTTGTAATGACATAAGTTTACAAAATTGTTAAAAAATTAAAAATTTTTATAGTGCTCATCTGTGCTCTTAGAAAAAGTACGATAGATTGTCGACATGTCTCGTTCGAATTATCGTTGGAAAACGATATTCGAAATTGTTTGTATGCTGGAAAGGATATAACAAGGGATGCGCCAAGCATTGCTTCAAATGCAAAAAAACAATGTAGATAAAAGACGTTAAGATTTTCGTCGGTGTGACAATCAGCCGTTTAGCTTAGTGGCTAAAGCGTCAGGCCGCGAATGCCGAAGACGTGGGATCGATTCGCACAGCGGCGACGTTTTCGTATTTTTTCTAAAAATTTTAAAGATTATTTAAGTTTCAAATCAGCAGTAGCCAGGGGACTTGCGAGTGCCGAGCAAGAGTCATGTCCACACCTCCCTGTCCTGAATATATTTTCCGACATTATAATAGGCCTATAAGGCAACAATTTTTTTGTATTTTTTAATTTTTTTTTAAACCTTGCCCTTACTTTAGGATAACATTATCCTGTGTTGTAAGGACATTTTACAAACATAAATTTCACGCGGACAAACGCCCAGATGCGAAACGACTATCTGTGGGTCACACAAATAGTTGTCCCGTGTGGGAATCGAACCCACGACCCCCGACGCCGAAGCCGATACCTTAGCAACTGCGCCACGGAGTCCTCGATATAATTATAATATTGTATTTAACACTTTGTGTCCAGGTGTTCGCGGCGATAACGTCCTCGTACGCGATGTGCCCGCCCGCCATGTGCCGGCTGTTCGACGCGCTGCGCCAGTGCGCCGCGCGCCACTTCCCGTGCAACGCGGAGGTGCGCTACTCGGTCGTCTCCGGCTTCATATTCCTGCGCTTCTTCGCGCCCGCCATCCTCGGCCCGCGCCTCTTCGACCTCACCACCGAGCAGATCGTGAGTTAACAATACCACACACACACACACGCACACACACGCACGCACGCACGCACGCACGCACGCACACACACACACACACACACACACACACACACACACACACACACACACACGCACACACGCACACACACACGCGCACACACACACACACACGCGCACACACACACACACACACACACACACACACACACACACACACACACACACACACACACACACACACACACACACACACACACACACACACACACACACACACACACGCGTCATAAGAAAGTGACGTGTCATAAGTTTGACGTGTCCGTCTGTGTATCTGTGTCTGTTTTCACTGTTGCACGAATGGGTGAACACTAATGGCTATTGGTTCAATGGAATAATAGTAGAAGTTCAATATTGCCTTGTTTAATTGTTTTTACTAATTCCATTGTTGTATAATATTGTTCCAGGATCCGCAAACCAACCGAACTTTGACGCTGATCTCGAAAACTATTCAGTCGCTAGGCAACCTGGTGAGCAGCCGCTCTGCCCAGCAGGTGTGCAAGGAGGAATACATGGCGGAACTGTATCGCAGCTTTTGCACTCCCAGACATGTTAGTGTTATTAATGACTAATTATTCGTAGATCATTTATCAGAGCAATAGTAAATGTTGTTTAAAATTAATTGCATTTAATTTATCGTTCGAACCAGGTTTTATATTGAGAATTAGTGTATTGGCTGGCAAACACTGAGGAAACATTGCTTTCAGGTGCAGGCAATCAAACAGTTTCTCGAAATAATCTCCACTAGTTCAGACACCCAAAACAACAATATTCAGGAATCACCCGTCTTACTGAAAGAAGGGTAAGTTTATGCTTTTATTTGTGGATAGAACCATTCTAAGTCTATACCAAAAATAATAGTAGATTTTTGTTTGTGCTTCCCGTGGAATAGATATGGGTATGTTTTTTGTTCTGTGTCCGTAATTCTTTTTCTTCTATTGAGAAAATCTATCCCTGTTAGAAAATTTAAATGTAATTTATAACATTTTCTGATGGCATATTCAACGCCGAATATTTAGTCTTTTGCTACATCTGCAATAGATTTTGTTCTGTGTTCGTTCGTTCGCAGGACGATGATCAAACGTTCGGAGAGCGGACGCGCCGGCTCGGGCTCCCCGAGGCGACGGTGGACGCGAGCCGCGCACGCGCACTCCAAGCGGCGGCACTTCAGGCTCACCAGGTGAGACGGACATACGGTATCGCGTGTGAGAGAAAGGGAAAGCAATCACTGTGACAGGGCCGCGCGGCAGTCTGTCAGTCGCTGTTGCACGAATGGGCAAGTCCGTCCGGGGAAGTACCTTTTTTTTCGTATCGGACGGGGGGCGGGGTGGGGAATCTTCAAAAGATACCCTGTCACCTTACATGACAGGGTTATGTGGGTTTCTTACCCACTAAAACACCCTCGGTGGGGGGCACCTTCTTTACGTTTGGAGGGACTCAGGGATCTCCTACGCACCTCATATAAGACCGGTGTGAAGTGTGATCACCGCCAGATCGCTTGCCACCTTCTCACATTGATAAAAAAAAATGAAATTGGAATCCCTCGATTTTTTCCGTTGTCGCCACTAAGAGAGTTGGGTCTCACTGTGCCGAAGTTCTATCGCTTCGGTGGCACGTGAATAGTGTAGACTTTGTTGATACATCAACCATGACATCAATTAAAAAGTTTTTTTTTTAATTCTTAAAAGTTCACCCAGACATTATAGGGTTCACCCCTATAATAATAATGTAATGTCTAGGTGAAACTGCTTCTCGCCTCGGGTGCCATGATGCAAGTTGCATTTCAGCGCAAGTGAAACCAACCAGCGATTTGTTGGGACAGTGAGATTATTTCGAAGAGGATGCTTATACAACTCGCAATAGCATAAATGTTATTTTTGCTCTGGTCTTATGGTCTGTTCCGGTCCAGCTTGCATTAAAGAAAATCCTTTGCAGCGGTGAGCTGTCGTGGTCGCGCAGTGGGGCGAAGGCGCCCGCGCACCGGCTGCCGCTGTCGGGCGTGTTGGCCGTGGCGGCAGTGGACTGCCCCCCCGCCGGTGCGCCCCTCGGCGCGAACAACATATTCCAGATAGGTGCGCGACCTTCGCTGCTTGGTGTACGCCTCAATCGAATATTGCTTGCGATGTTTTGTAACATCATTCTGGGTTTATTGGAGAAAAGTGTTGATTGTGACGTAATTAAACGTGTGTAGATTGTCGCTCTGCGTGTCTCTTAAATAGCAGAAATTCCACGTTTATGAACTGCTATTTTTTTAAAAGAAATCTTAGTTTGTGCCGCGAATCCTTACTAATATTATAAAGGCGAAAGTTTTTATGTATGGATGGATGTTTGTTACTCTTTAACGAAAATACTACTGAATGGATTTTAATGAAACTTGACAATAATATAGCTTATCAGAATAAGACATAGGATATAATATATATTCATTTTTTTTATATATCTGTTTTTCTGTCTGAATGTTACGCCTTCAGCCTCTACGCAGACGTAGTCGCGGGCAGCAGCTAGTTTATCATATAATGTAGCTTCAAAACAGTTTAAATTCCAAAAATAGTTAAAGTATAAACATGGATTGATTGCAATAATTCGTTCAAAATCCCAATTGATTTTAAAATATAATATTTATGTCTAAAATACAATCAAACAGAAAAGAAAGTGACTCCGAACAAATTGAAACAGTTAACATTGATGGTTTAGAAACTTAATGTAAACTTCCGTGCATGTATGCGTATGCGTACGTTTCGATTTGGTCGGGGCAAAACGGTTATGGAAGAATCGAAGACCGTGAAAAGTTATTCGTTGCTTTACCTATTTCTATGCATGTGTGTGTATGTCAGGCGTGAGTATGGATGTGTGTATATGAATTGTAACTTTCGCCGACAGTGCATCGAGAGCGCGTGCTGCTGGTGCAGGCGAGCAACTGCGTGGAGCGAGCCGAGTGGGTGCGTCTCTTGGCGGCGCTCTGTCGACGAGCCTCCGCCGCTCACCACAGGGGCTACTACGCGGACGACAAGTGGACCTGGTAATCCTTTTTCGATGCCTAAAAATGCTTCAATTCTTAATTTTTTATATAGTTTTAGTGTTTTTTGTGGTCGATGTATCAATAGTAACAGTTGTCTGTCCACTCTAAATACTACCCGAATACTAATCCCAACTGCTATATAGTTCAGATTTACTCGAATTTTCAAACTAATCGGGATCCGAGCCCGATGAAGCTTAACATCATCCTGAAGGTCGTAGCGTACCAAATCGCCCGGCAAATGGAACATGGTTCACGTTCCATTGGATCTGTTCCTGTGCTAGGGATGCCAAAAAATATCGATATATCCAAGGTTTTTTTTATTAAATATCGATATTTTTAGCAGATATGTCAATATAAAATATTCATTATCGAAATCGTATCTAAAACGATATTTTTTTCAAATTCGAATCCGGGACAGAGTCCGTACATGCAAATATACTTGACTAAGTTTTGTTTTTGGACGACAGAGGCTAAAAACAAAATATCGATATTTTCTCTTCGATATATCGAGGCCGATATTGATATTGATATAAATATCGATATATCCATATATTTTTTCACTTTCGGCATCCCTATCCTGCACCATTCGACACGGACTTATGTGGCGTTGTGGTTTTCAGCTGCGGGCGCGCGGAGGCCGAGGCGGAGGGGTGCGGCGCGGGGGCGGGCGATGGGCTGGAGGAGCGGGGCAGGCACGCGGCGGCCGCGCTCGCGCTGCGCTTGGACCCCGCGCGCGACCTGCAGCGGCTGCACGCCCTGCTCGTGGCGCACGCGCAGCGGCTTGACGAGCGGCTGCGCCGTCCGCAAGGTCAGCTGCCACCAGGGTTGCCAACTGACAGGCGCTTGCCGCGTTTGACAGGCGTTTGCCGCGTTTGACAGACGTTTGCCACGTTTGACAGGCGTTTGCCGCGTTCGACAGGCATTTGCCACGTTTGACAGGCATTTTGACATTAGATGCGTACGGCCGGCGCTGATCGGATATGGGCATTATAAAATTTGCCTTTGCGCCCTTTTGTAGCATTTCGAACATTAACACGATTTTGTGACCTACTGCTGTTTTTTTTTTAAATTGTAGACAGGCATTTCTGGCGCCTTATACAGGCGTCCCTTCACTTATGCATGGTCACCCTAGCTGCAACCCTCTCGCTGGACGTTCGAACTTTGAACGAGGCCGTAGATTCCTTTGAAAATCGTTCTAAATTCGAACAGCACAAGTCAACGCGATTGCTTACACTAAAGTGGATATGATCTGTTTTTGCTCAAGTTGTTCGCCGTTTACTATACAATCTAAGAATAATATGATATGAGCAGTTTTAAATATCGACACCCAACACTAAGATACAACAATCCAAATTCGAATGAAAATACTAATGATTTATTTGGATGCAAAAGTTCTTAATTATGTAAATATTCTAAATTTGAATAGGACCTTTCTTCTTATGACTTCAATCAACATTACACGAAACGTTGGAGAATCACAAATATCGTAAATGTGCTATTAATTGGCTACCGCTCTTGTGTGTGTATGAAATGCTAAACTCAAGAAATTATTAAAATTTCTAATACCACATGCACTTTGCGGACGGGTAAAACTATCGAGTTTAACCACAGTATATCTTTACAGATGATGCTACACTTGAAGAACGGGAGGCTGAAGCGTCAACATTGCGCGAACTGCAAAAGACGATATTCGACCTTGAACATCAACACTGTATATATCGACGGTCTCTTGCGAGAGAAACCAAATACGGCAGCAAGTAAGATTCTTCCATTCCCATTAAAGACATGTTTTATTATTACATGTAGTACTGAGATCTAAATTTACTCGTTAGGCAAGCGCCAATCGGTGACGACAACTACCTTCACTTGGCGGGCGCGGCCGGTAGCGTGGACGGCGGTTCGTTTTTCTGGCGTGCGTGGAGGGGCGACACGTCGCCCACGGTCGACCTCGACGGCAAGACGTTGCCGCTGCAGCAGACCTCCATCGACATCGGCTCCAGCACGGAGTCGCTCAAACTGGCCCGGCTCGGCGACGAGCGCTCCTCCGGCAAGTCGAACAAGTCCACGGGCAGCGGCTACCTCACCATGTCCTGCCTGAAGCACGAACCCTCCGAGGACAGCGACGCGTCCACCGACAAGCCGGCGAGGCCGCCGAAGCCGGCGCGGCTCTCCCCCTCCCGCGCCACCTTCTCCTCCCCGCCGGCGCCCCTCTGCGAGTACGTGGACGTCGAGCTGAAACCGCCGCGGCGCGGGCCCAAGCCCGAGCCGACGCCCAAACGGCCCGACTTCGACGCGCCCAACCGCTTCAAGGAGTACGAGCTGATGGCGAACTTCATGAGCCACGCGCACGCGTCGGACGAGGACGCACCGCCGGCGGTGCCGCCGCGCGGGAACACGGCCGCGCGCAGCCGGCTCCGGCCCAAGGCGTCCGACGTGGAGGCGAAGCGGTCGCGCGAGCGCCCCACCCTGGCGCACGCGCCGAGCGGCTCCACCGGCAGCCTGCCGGGCGACGGCGCCGACGCCGACGGGCCTGACCCCGCCCCAGCGCGCCCCCTCAGCAAGGTCGACACCGTGTCCAACGACGACAGCCTGCTCGCCGAACTGCAGCGCGACACCTACTGCGTACTGAAAGTGTGCGAAGACGAGGCGCACGAGCGCGAAACGAGCGAGCTCGACAGCGAAGGCTCCCTGGACCGCAAGGACATGGAGGAGTACGGAATGTTCTCGAGAATCAGCATACAAAGGAAGTCGAATCCCATAAAGACGCAGCCGGCGTCCATGAAGCCCCTGAAGACGTCCAGTTCCACGTCGAACGTGCACGACGCGGGCACGAACACGTCGCGGCCGCTTACGGAGCGATTGACGCCGTTCTTCCTGAAGAAGAAACCGAAACCCCCCGACGAAGCGCAGGTGCCGAAATGCGTACGCAAGGAGGAAAACTTGATCGGCAGGCTGACGCCGCGCTTCGGCCAGTCGAGGCTGTACGGGCGGGGGCAGTCGCTCGAGCTGGCGCCTCCGGAGAGCCGCGGCAAGCGGATCGAGCGCTCCGCCACCACTGTGAATATACAAACGAGACCGATCAACTCGTCGATCGTGGCCAACTTCAAGTTCCTCAGCCTGCACAGGTACGGGCCGCAGGACGACGTGCAGTGCCACGCGTTCGTCCGCAACGAAGACGGCGAGCGGCCGAAGGGGGATTCCCCGAGCGGTGCGGCGGAGAGGGAGGCGTCGCGGGAGGGGGGCGGCGCTATGGAGTACATCGTTAGCGAAGAGGACGCCCTTAACAGTGCCGCCTGGCGGCGCAACCACGGCCCGCTCCTGGCCGCCGCCACCAACGACATCAGACTGTAGCGGTCGTCGCTGCAGTATTTGCATGTGCGCGCCGCCGTGACGGCAATAATGGTGCGATTGTAAATTAACTAGACTAGGATTATATTTATTTCTATATTTTTCGAACTCCTTTTCGTCGACCTGAAGCATGTGCCTCCTCTAGTTTATAGCGGCGTTCGAAACGAGCCCCGGCTACTGTTTATATATGATATGATAGCGTTTAATACTCAAAAGGTGCCAAGTGTCGTGCGACCTCGTTATCGGACGAACTCTCATTCCTGTAGCACAATAATGTTATGATGCTAAATCTTATACTAAAGAGTTAGATGTATTCTCTGTGATTGGTATCACTGTCCAATGTTGAATCTATCGATACAAATTAGAAGCGTTAGCGTATTTGTATATTTTATTTTGTGTATGTTATTGTAAGGATGAATGCCATGGTGTAAATATTTTGACTGGTTGATGGGCTCTTGTGACCTTTTGACCTTAATCGCAATAAATTCAACGAAGTATTTCGTTTCATAGCTATTTATGTGAAAAATAACAACCTTAAATTATATACTATATTTTTAAGATAAAATTTCTCACTAGATTTATTCTTATTAAAAATTGCACACAAACTAACAGTTTAAAAATGTTCTATGTTTTTGATATATGACACGTTTGCATTTTTTTTTGTAAAATGAATGAGAAAGAGAAATATTTTTAAATTACAGATTCGAGATATGATCAGCATGTTCAATTACTAAATGTACTTAAAGTTTGATATTATTAAAGTAATAATTTCATTTGTTTTTACAAGTGTAAAAAATATTCTAAATGTTTGTGACAAGACGGCCTTAGCGATATGATCACGCCTAAAACCACGGCCTTTGGCAACACCATTACTTAAGCTGTGATTCTCTTTATAAACTCAAATCATATTTTATGTAGAATAGTATATAGTATGTAACGGAACAGTCAATTGTGCTTATGTACACTGTAGGCTTTGATATTGTAAAGCTATATATAACAGTACATGTTATTAACAATTTCGATTTTTTTATTATATAAATTTTCAAATTGTAATATCACTAAAACACTTTTTAAAAACTTCAAATTATATTCTAAATACATTGTTGTCCTATTTCTACAACGGATTAATTTATAATAAGTATCTTTAATGCGAAATAAAGTAATGTACAAATTAATATTTCTTTAAAATATAATGATATGTTATTTATTCACCTATTTTCATTTTTTTTGTTAATAAAATTACACAGTAGTATAAAAATCTCCGTATTATTTTTCAATACATCTTATAAGTGTTATTACAGGTTTTTTTGATTGGTTTTTCATTATCTCCTATCAATCAACCTATCAAAGGTCAAGACAATCAAAGGATTTCGTTAATTGTTTGATATTCAAATGCATGTTATATAAATGTGGAAAAAAATAATGGGGATAAATTGTTGAGCATATTTTTAATTAACGTTGGTGTGGAACAAGCTATTAGTGGATGAGGTTTTGGTCTTAAATTTAATTAAAACTCCTGTTACACTGTTTATTACGTTACATTACAATGTGCAGTATCAGTCTAGTGGCATCGTGACGATACGGTTATCTGTGGCAGCCTAAAGCTATGAATTATCGATTTACACCGAAAGTAAAGCAATAACTATATATTATAAATATAAAGAAAAAACTTGGCAAAACATTCAAAACTGACATCTTTCAAAAGTTGTTTGTCTGTATTTATTATTGAGACAAAAATTTCATCATATACCTAGAATTAGTTTGATTCTTCTTAATTGTTTTTTTTTAACACTTATTTTACTATCCTTGACAAAATTGTACAACAATTCATCTACAAGTTTTTGCAGAGTTAATTCTATTTTATTTGCATACAATAAATTCTCTAATATATTCTAGTCGTGATATTTATATAGTTAATTGGTTTACTATATTCTTAGCCAAACGAGGAAAACTGAACGTTAATTTAACGAAAGCGAATTTATCTTGACAGTACAAGTACCTACTGAGAAACTTTTTTGTCACTGCGATGCGAATGCTTGAATTTTTATTTATATAGTTTAACTAAATCCTCAAAAAGTGTCAAGAATCAGTACAGAAAAAAAATATTGTGTCCAACTTATTTAGCTATCAATTTTAGTAGTATCCGACGCCAATGAAAGGAATATGCATTGGCAAGTTTTAAGAAGGTGGGTTTCAATTTACTAAAAACGCACTTACGAATGGAATAAAACGGAAAAGTTAGTTTTTATCTCTAAAAATTTTCTTTACTTCGGTTTTTTGTGGGGATGGTATACTTCCTCGGTGAAATCGGTGGTAGGGCCACGCAGCAACCTTGGCTGTTGCACGAATGGGTAGGCTCGTCCGGGTAAGTACCACAACCTCACAGAAGACCGGCGTAAAGTGGAAGTATAATGCTTTCGCGGATCGTCTGATAAGTGAGGTTTTGCTATGATTGGTTGTTATGGATTGGCCGGAGCCCAATTTTCAAAAGGTTGTGAACGCATGGGTGTGGATGTCAATGGGCGGCAATATTCACTTAACATCAGGTGAACCGTCTGCTCGCTTGGTAACTTTTTACATAAAAAAGACCTATTTAAAATTATCAGTATTTGGGAGACGTAAAACAAAGTTAAGTGCATTTAAAACAAATGATTCATGAAAATGAACATGCTTAGCAAAAGTCAAAAATAAGTTATAGTATGTCATAAAAAGCCTGTGTCCGGGCGCTTGCCTTTAATTCAATTTACTCTAGCAACCTGAGTTCGATCCCCGGTGCCAGCACCAATGTATTTGTTAATTATAAGTGCTGATTTATCGCAAGCTTGGAGGTGAAAGAAAACATGATGAAGAAACTGCATATTTTCGAAATACTAACAAAAAAAAATATTTGCGAAATATTATAATAAATATTGCAAACTTGAACTGTATACATGAATTTAGTCTGGGGGAAAGGTAGCTTTTATCAAGTAATTGTTTTTCTACAAATTTTAATCGCAAATACTTCTTTGGAAACTGTCTTTTCGTCTAGGTTCAATTTGTAAACATATCCATTTTGTGCGTTTAGCACGGGACAATTTTATCATACAGTAAGGCCAGTGAATAATTTGAATAAAGAAAGAAAAATCAACAATACGGACTGATGATCAAATGTGCTCAGTGGCACATTTGATCATCAGTCTACGGATTAGGTAATGCTGCAATGAGGACAAAATGTTAAGGATAATCCTTACTAATACTATAAAGGCGAAAGTTTGTATTTATGGATGGATATTTGTTACTCTTTCACGCAAATACTACTGAATAGATTTTAATGAAACTTTACAATGATATAGCTCATACATCAGAATAAGACAGGCTATAATTTATACACATATTTTATGTATATCTGTCTTGTTGTCTGAATGTCACGCCTTTAGCCTATTCTACGCAGACGTAGTTGCGGGTAGCAGCTAGTTAATAATAAAAAGCAAGAACTGGAACCCTGCAGAGCGAAAGCAATAACCTATAGCTGCGAAATGTAGCAGACAGAATCTAGGAAAAAGTTCCAATAGCTGTACTATAATTTTAAAGTTATATACAATGATGTTTAATAATAATATATGTATATTATCATTAGTTATACAGCGTGTCGTTACCATCGCGACAATAAATGAACACACGTCTATCACTACTTGCCAATAATCATAAAAAATATTAACGTTAAACAAAATCCATAATTAAAAAAAAAATATTTTTCAAACAAACTAATTAAGTAAAAAAGAAACAAAATTTGTAACACCCTATAAAACTCGCGCACAGCGTCATATTACAAGCCTCTCCTTCTAACAGTATGTTTTGTCTCTTTTAAATTCATTCAACCCATTCATATGCTTTGTGACCTTTACAAATGAACTGTACGTAACGCTTTTATAGGTAAGGATGTTCTAAAATTCTTTGTTTTGAAAAATTTAATAACTCTGTAAATATTGATGTTTTAAGAATTTAAATGTTTAATACAACTTCAAAAAGTTATCCCCTATATGTGTGTTCATTTATTGTCGCGATGGTAACGACACGCTGTATACATATGCAATACATCAACATACCGTGGCAGTAATAAAAGTTACATATTATATACATTATTACTTAGCAATACAAGTTTCAAGTTCTTAATATCTTTTTCTATTCTTCGATTATTTTTGTTGTATTTATGACGAAAATAGCTTTTTTGTAATTTTTTTTGAGGCAGGTACATCTTCAGAAATATCTTAGATACAAAAAGAGATACGAAATCCAAAGAATTGAGATAAAATTAAAATCTGTTTTTAAGATAAAATTAAGAAATGTTTATAAAAAGCTGGCAAATGTCCTAAAATAAATATTTTGTAAAATTTATTTTATTAATCAAATCCCGTTAGAAGTATAATCAAAATTAAAATTAAAATTATAAACGTACTATGGACCTTGAAATTTTTTTGCCCGATCAAATCGGTTTATTGCAAAATTTATATAAAGTGAACATTTTACCTATTCACAAAACAAATTAATAAAGTTATACTGCCTTATGATACTTTATGATCTAAATCTACATAATCTTTTCACAACCTTTTGATGACCTTCATTTCATGCATACATGAATAAGATTTTTTATTAGATATGGTCACCACATTTGTGTTTGAGTCCATGTACTGATTATTATCAGATTATCAGTGCATTGTAGGATTGAAGTTACGTGAATACTGTCTGACTTTTTCTTATAATTACAGTAAAAGAAACATTTTACATGTTCTTCAACTCAGGCCATAGTGGAAATCAATACAATTACAATGCATTAACTTTGGCCTTTTATTCAAAACATTAAATTGGTTATTTTTCAATGTTATAAATACATTTATAAAATTTTATTATTTTTTAATTTATATTTTCCAATAAATAATGTGCTTGATTGTAATTTACATAATGTGTATGTTTAATGCTTTTCACCAAAGCTCGCAACGTTGCATTGTGATGGAATGGATATTATGCGCAAAATATTTTCAACACCTTTTTTGTCTTTAACTTATGATGTTTTAATTAATACGACGCGTGTTCATACTGCGCGGCGTTTAATAATTGTTCCGCTTTATATAATATGACATATTTAGGTATGACATAGAACGTATGATACGGAAAGAGATGTAGTCTATGTCAGAAAGTCGTCTATGGAATTGCAATCAAATTACACCAATTGGCGTATCTTGAGTGCCTCAGTTTCTGTACGCTAGTGTCATATCTCCCTCGTACTTGTATATAGTACTTATTAGCTTTAATAATAATTTCTCATCGATTTCACAAACGAGACACTGTCACGTATTATGAAAAAGATAAAAACGATTACAGCCATAAACAGTGAATATCAGTCAGGTGATGAGCTGGATATTCATTATTACAATACTAGGTATAATTAGTAAGATTTAAATATCCGAAAAAATATTGATAAATATTTACCTAATTGACAAGCCAGTTGAATAATGACTTGACATTTAACTGCGGTGACAATTTTAACTTCATCGTAAACTTGTCAAATCTGGGGATATCTATTAAGTACCTAATTAGTAATAAGTGCAAATAAAATGCAAGCAGTGTACTGTACACATAAAAACACTGTGCCTATAATAACTCGTATATATTTAATTAAATAATTACTTGTTTTTGGTTAACTAGATTAAATTGATAAAATTGTTTATATTGATCTCGTGGCTTCTTCGAAGTTGAAAGTGTTTCTCAAACTATATTGAACATTATAAATATAAATCTACAGTAAATCTGTATACAGATAAATAAAATTGGAGTGTCTGTTTGTAAGATCCAAATAACCGCTGTTTACTAAATGCATATGGATGTACACACGGTACATATACTAAAATAAAATTTTTTACAATTTTTGTCTGTCTGTTTGTTCCGGCTAATCTCTGAAATGGCTCGACCGATTTTGAGGAACTTTCACTGATAGCTGTTGTAATAAGGAGTAACTTAGGCTACTTTTAGATTAGAAATTTTATTTATTGTTATATACAGGGTGGCTTTTCTAAGTGTACCCATTTTTTTCATTAAGTTCAATAAACGATTATACTACCGAGTCAGAACCTCCAGTGTAAATTTGTGCCCTTCTCAAACCAAAGTATACAGGGAGTTCCAAAGTATACCAAGTTCTCTCCCTGTATACAGGGAGATTTTTTGATCTGAAAATCTCCCTGTATACAGGAAGTAAGTCCGTTATGTATTTGAGAAGTGCCCAAATTTACAAAGGAAGTTCAGACTCGGTAGTATAATCGTTTATTGAAATAAAAAACAAAGCTTTTTTTTCAATAAACGAAACGTCAGTCTTAAATACCTAAATTTTACTGTTCACGAACTTATGTGCGTGTTATTTATGAATGATAAGTTCAAATGAATTTAATTAATTACTTACGAGAGATTTTAAATATTTATCATTTATATAACATTATTTATGTCTAGAATTTAATAAAAAAATGGATATACTTAGAAAAGCCACCCTGTTAAATATAAAACCACGCGGATGACGTTGCGGGCTCAGCTAGTAAATAAATAAATATTTTAAGACATATTTTACACAACGTTTTCTTTCAACGTGTCCCACACTAAGCAACGCTTGTACTATGGATACTAGATAACTGATAAACATACTTTTCTTTTGTAAATAAATACATATTATAAATATAATAACACCCAGACACTGGAAAAACACTATGTTCATCACACAATATTTTTCCAGTAGTGGGGATCGAACCCCTATGGCGCAAGAGGCAGGGGTAATAAAAAAAATTAAAAGCAAATCATTATTGCGACAATATTTTGTAGTACCTATGTCAAATTGTATGTCTTTTACAGCATTTAAGTAAAAGCTCTTCTTTATTTTTTTTCTATTTATTCATTTCTTAGTTTTTGAAACAAAGTTCCGGATTTGATTTTTCATCCCTCCTTGTCCTAGACGGTTTACAAGCCAATTTTTATGACGTCACGAAATCGCACAGGCATAGTATACACTATGCATTTTGGATGGTTTTACACCATGAAATACCTACTTATATAAACACAACTAAAAATTGACCTTTAAGACGTCCAGGAAATGCTCTATTCTGAGGTGTAAATGGTTGACGTTTGCTGGATTAGTGAAACGCTATTTGATTTTTTAGAAAATGGTCTGAAACTCTACAAAAAAAAAATAACGGACATGAAAATCATAAAGCAGGATGTTTCTTATAACCCAGCACTTTGGTAATCAGTTTTGGTTATTTCAAACAAGTTTCGATAGTCTTATAATTTACAATTTGATTTATTTTGTGTATAAAATGGTAAATAAAAATTTTATAATCATATGACAACAAAGCTATATTGAGCCAAGCTGTTTCAGTTAACTACAATTGATTTTTGGTTTACAATTGCAATAACATTTTATGATGACTCGGCGGCGCCGTTGCTAAGCCATTGGCTTCAGCGTCGGGGGTCGTGGATTCGATTGCCACACGGGATAAGTATTTGTCTCATCGCATAGATAACTGTTGTGGATCTTGGTGTTTGTTTTCTTAAGTAGCTAAAAAACAATGTAAATAAAAGACATTAAGGTTTTCGTTGGTGTGGCAATCAGAGTTTAGCTTAGTGACTCTAGCGTAAAGCCGCGAATGTCGAAGACGTGGGTTCAATTCCCATAGCAGCGACAATTTTTTCGTATTTTTTTACATATTTTAATGTTCAATCTTAAGTGCAGAGATTAGCACTATACAAATTCTTCTTAAGGAGTGTTGGCGGCCGGTCATAAATACATAGAGAAAACCGTTTACAACAAGATTCACATCCTGAGTATAGGACACATAAATATATAGAGCGGCAAATTTGGCCCATAGAAAAAACAGGTCTTTAAAATTTAACGAAATTTTTAATATTTTAGTAACACACTGAACTCTCCAACATCTGTATATTATGAATTATTACTGCGATGCTGTAATAAATGATATGACCGTTCGCTAACGGCCGGTTTCAATATTTTATATACAGAGAGACTTGGTCAATAGCGAGTGGTATATGACATTAAAAACAGAATATAGAAACGTCCGAAGAAGGTATTAGAATGACTGTGAGTGAAACTTTCAGGGTTAACACCTTTCTCGTCTTCATAGATAGACTCGTGTCTGAGTTAGAAAAACGGCGGGAAGCTTATAACGAATATATCGAGAAGTTTTCATTTTTAATCAAAATGAGTTAGTTACCATCGACCCTGACGGAAAAACCCATTTCGTTGCAAAAATGTATTACATGAACTTAGCTTAACTTAGTTCAGGAATGCATACACATTCAATTTCAACTTTCTTCGGAAAAAAAATCGATAAAAACAGTTTCTGGATCATTAAAAACTCTTTCATTATTCAGGCGAAAACAAAATTTGGAAAATATTTACCTATCCAAACTTGGATATAGGACGTTGCATGGCTCTATGCACAACAATGACTAATTGTTCGGGTGAGAGCTTTAGTGTGTGTAGCGGGTGCTATTTACGATCGACTATAAGCCAAGAAAAGTTAACTTTTCTTGACTTAAAGTCGATCGTTGCTTTTTTGTGCATAGAATCAGAATGATGATGTTTTTTTTCGAATTTGAAATGTCGCAAAAAGGTAATGTAAGATTTTCATTTGATTTCTTTTATTATGATTATTAGACGGATTGTTAACAGAAAATTTAATATAGATACTGTTCTACTATTTTATGTAAGCTGTGTTCATTGGTATAAGTATTTTTAATTCAAACCTTACCCCGTCTCATAGTTAGAACATGATTGAACTTTTTTTTAGTTCAGAAATATATCAAAAAACTATTTTTCGTGTAATCTTCACTAAGTCGTGGGTTGTATAATAATCTAGAAACTGACACAACGAAACCCTTATTCAAAATTATGCTATTAACGAGGAAAAAACTGATGTAATGAAGACGATAGAGTACAAATCATAAAGTTACCATTTTATTGACGGTATAAATGTAATTAATATGGTTGCGAAATAGGGCATCGAATTTCAGAGTTCAGTAGAGGCAGCAAAAATTCCGGCTATTCTTTGATTCTATTAATACGGAATGTATAAGGAAAAATGCTAAAACAACATTAACCGAAATCGAAAAGTTTGAGAGCCGCCGGCCGTGAATCTAACACGACGCGCCGTCGGGAAGCCCGCGCCGCGATGCGACTTACTTAGAGGTAAGTGTACATAAAAGTCGTCGCGGTCGGGGTCTTAACGAGTTTCGCAGCGAGCCACTGCGGGAACGCACGTCGGCCGTGCAACAAGTTTTATTTACCTTCGGCCTGCTGTTACCGAATGCGGAACGCGCCGGAGCCGAAGTAATTGGTGCAATCATCTTGTTGAGCGTAAACAAACGAGTGAGTACTGTGCGACAATTCCCTTTATGTAACCACGGCCTTCTGCGCGCCGGCCGGCGAAGTTGAATTCGCCTCTTTTGCCCCTTTTCGTCAATCGAATCCAATGACTATAATCGGTCACGTATTCCGCACTGCGTATTGAATGGACACACATGCGAGGCATGGCGAAATCTGAATGAAAACTTGGCGTTCCGAGAGTTACAGTGCATAAACATTGCATCAATTCAACGTGTAGTTAGTTATAGCTGCGTCCTTTAACTACTTCGCCTTGCAGCTGTGAACGTCAATTAAGCGTTCGTAGATATTGTTATTTTATCGTTATAAAAATACAAGAGGTCCAATAGTGTGCACCAGAAAACAGATTGCGTCACCTACATAATATAATATACTAACTACTTACAACATATTCTTCTTATAGTTTGTATTGTAGTTTTTTATAATCAAGTAATAATTCTAACTAAATGATATATGTATTTTTATATTAAAAACTATTCTATACAGATTTTAGAATATATGTAAAACGTTATATTATATGCTGCTTTCTGTGGATAATTTTAAGGTTAATATAGCAGCTGTTGCAATATTGTCAGCAGTCACTAAAAAGTTGGCTATAGAGGTGGCGGGTTCACGCAACAGCGAACGCCGCCGCCTCGAATGGTAAGGTCCGTCCGGGTTAGTAGTTTAGTATCACGACCTCAGAGAAGACCGGCGTAAAGTAGAAGCGTTACACTTCTACGTTTCGTCTATTGAGTGAGGTAAGGGGCTCACTTTATTAATAAGGTGGCAACGCATCTTCAGTCCTACAGGTGAACCTTCAGCTTATTTACGACGTTCTCACATTAAAAAAAGCATTTTCCCAGGAGATGCAATAAACATATATGATAGCAACTAATTATCTCTAACGTTATTAAATTACATAACGATATATTTACATATCAAGTAATTTTGCGATGATTAGTATTCCACTTATATTACGTAGCAGAAGAACCAATCTTGCGACAAGAGCTTTTTTAACATGCTTAATTGCCTATTCTCTATGGATGCGCGCATTTCCCGCGCGTCCACGTCGCGGGGCTGGTCACAACTCTCTTCATTAGGCCAGAGAGAGACGATGACCAAGTTCGGATGGGGACCCAGCTCTATGGTGTATAGCATAGAACCCTTGATCAGGGTTTCGGGTGAAGACCTCAACGGTGGAATGGGCGGAGACAGCATGTATCGGAACGGCCAGACCAGCGCAGGAGGCAAGCCACGGGGGCGTAGAATCTGGAACGTGATGGAGGGCAGCGGTAGCCATCATTACCTAAGTGAAGCGCAAAGAGGTGATTTCTGGACCGATTCATGGTGGGTTAATATAGCCACTGACCTTATAGTACCGCGATGTAGAAAGCAAGGGGAAATTACTAATGATCCCATGAGAGCTGTATGATGGACACAAAGAGATGCAGACCAAGTTTGCATGGCGATCCGCGTAGCTTGAGCGCGCGCCCTGAGCTTTTCGGGACTGGGTATGCGAAATTAGTTACCGGCCATGGAGATGCCAACCAGGCGTCATATGGAAAACATGCTACTGGAAGAAGCTTAAAGTTAAGAAAATGTCATCTTTTCGATACATGGAATGTTCAAAGTTTTCTTGAAAAATCTAAGCTTCCAATGTTAGAGAAGGAGCTGAAGCGATGCCATTTGGTTTTCACATTATTAGGAATTACTTCTACTATTAGGAAAGGAATTACTTCTACTATTTGAGCAATTACTAATTGAGCATTTCAATTGTGAAAAACATACCAATACCATCTATTCTTCCAGAAATGATAGAAGTAGTTCTTCTGTAGTGGCTATTGCAATTCCGAATATTTTGAATGGCACTGTACTCGGCTACAACCCAATCAGTGATAGAATTATATCGAATAAACTCAGCGCATCACCGACTCCACTGAATATTTTGCAGGTGATGCAAATATGAACACAGAACCAAATGCAAGTAATTGATCAGAGTTCTTTTACTTCGTCTATTGAAAGCAAACATTCTATCTGGCGGTCAGATATCGGGAACATAGGAAGTGACTCCTTGTGGAAATCTGCTAAGAAATGCGTAAATGATGCAGTTAAAAGAGTCGCGACCGAGAAAAATATCCGCCAAACGATAACATTGGATGACAGCAAATACCTGGCAGTTAGTGGAAGAACGTAGGAAATTAAAAGCTATAGGTGTGAGTGTTGCTGAATTGAATTCAAAAACATCAGTAATATAAGTTGCTTGTCAACGTGACCGAAATAACTTATTGGCAAGGATATGTGAAGAACAAGAACGACACTCAGATTACAGACGAAAGATCTTCATGACAAAGTTCGACTCATAACACCTCGATTCCAACCAGACATGTACAATAGAGAATACCGCAGGCACAACCATAACTGAGATTGAGGAGATAGTGAAGGTTTGGATGGACTATTGAAAATTTCTCTTCGCGATAAACACGACAGCAAAAGACCTTACTACTACGTACCTTAAATGAAATTGATAAGCGAGAACCTGGTATTATGCGTGATGAAGTTAGAGCAGCAATACGTCACTTGACCAGCAATAAAACCATTGGTGTTGATGACATTCCAATAGAAGTGTTTAAGGCCAAGGTTTATGGGAGAAGTTGGTGTGGACTTTCTATTTACCATCTGCTGCAAAAATTGGGAAACTGGCCTTTAGCCCGAGGACTGGTCCCATTCTTTGCACAAGAAAGGCAAAAAATGCAATAGCTACCGGCTCATCTCCCCCATATCTCATGCGAGCAAAAAGATGCTCCAATCCTAAACACAAGGTTAAAGGCTTACTTCTCGAACCAAATTGCTTCAGAACAAGCTGGATTCATGAAGAGAATAGGCACGCGAAAACAGATTCTCATGTTATGGCAGATCATAGAGAAATTATGGCAGTTCAACAAACCACTCTTCATATGTTCGTCGAGTTTCGAAAGGCATTCGAAACGGTCATCTGGGAGCTTATGTAAAGTACTGCTGATACGGGTTATGGGAGTTCCGCGGCATCTTGTTTTTCTATTGTGAAGGTTATACGAAGATGGCACAGCTGCAGTGCGGGTGGATAATGTCCTCTCAGATACCTTCAAGACTGAGTCCGGTGTTCGATAGGAGTGTACTCATATATTGTCGTCGTTGCTCTTTAACACCTATACCGAGCACATCATGAGAATCGTTCTGGAAGGGTGGGATGAAGGTGTTTCAGTTGCAGGGCGAGTGATTAATGACCTACGATACGCTGATGATACTACGCTTCTGGCAAGAACAAAAGAAGACTTAGAAAAGTTGCTGACTTGAATCCACCAGTGCCAACTTCGTTCGGTCTTACTCTAAATAGAGATAGGACGAAGATCATGATAGTAGATCGGGTTGAGCAAAATACGCAAGGAGTTCCGCATATAGCAAACTGCGAAGTAGTTCAGAGCTATATTTACCTTGGCTCTACTATATCCAACTTCGGTGGCTCTGAAGACGAGATCAAACGTCGATGCGCTATCACATGATCAGCAGTAGAGCGATTAGGGAAGATTTGGAAAGACAGACGTATAACCAAGAATATAAAGGTTCGACTAATGAGATGTCTGTTATTTCCGATCTTTCTGTATCGGGCTGAAACATGGCCGCTTAGATTACAAGATCGCCGGAAAATCGATGCTTTGGAGATGTGGTGTTGGAGATGACTATTGAAAATTCCGTGGACAGCGTTTCGGACTAAAATTTCCATCCTCAAAGAACTTCATATACAAAATACACTTTCGTCGACTGTCCAACTACGAATTCTCAAGTTCATGAGAGACTTGTTAATCAAGGCCGTGTAGAAGGAAAAAGACCTTGAGGTCCAGCCCGCACTCGCTGGATTGACCTCATCACCAGCGCTACGAAAGCCACCGCAGTACAATGTGCTCGCATTGCTAACAGCCTCCTCCAATGGAGGAACGTCGCAAGACGTGCGGCTGCTTTGGAAGCGAACAACGATGGGCCGACGCAGTCCTGTCCATTGACAGCCATGACCACTCTGCCAAGAGTGTCCGATTAAGAAGAAGAAGAAGAAGAAGACTCGGATAATTAAATTCAAACAACTCTATTAGGTCTGGAACAATTTAAACTACAAAAAAATGATGTTAAAATATTGTGCAAATAGTATAATATGCTTAGTCAATACATTTTGTTATTGTTTAACCTTCTTTTTTGCAATGAAAACATGAATTAACTTTAATATTAATTTCAACTCAATTTCTGTTGATGTTTGTTTTCCATAAATACAAAAAAATATTTTTTTTGTTATTTATGGAAAACAATGGATATAAAGATTCTATATAGGTACACACTTCTAAGAAAAGTAACATGAAGGATTAGGTTAGGAACAGCTTTACATGCAGATCTAGAGCTATTTTGGGTCCATAATTACAGCAATTCTCTTTAACTTCTGTTTTACGCCGCCGGAATGGTACCCATTGAAGATGAAACATCTTCATAGCAGAGATTAGCTCTATAAAATTTTAATTTTAGATTAATATTTCAATAGCAATTTCTCTCGTTCGAATCATCGTTGTAAAACGTTTTTTGTAAATTGTTTGTGTGCTGTAAAGGACAAGAAAAGTTGGTGGATGCTTAAAATGCGAAAATAACAAAGTAGGTAGATAAAATACGTTGAGATTTTCGTCGGTGAGGCAACAGGCGTGTAGCTTAGCATCTGGGCGTAATTCCGGATGAAGCGAGTTGGATTCCCGCGGCGGTGAAAAAGTTTTCCGTCCATTTTTCTACTTAAGTGCAAAAATAATGTTAAATATAAATACAACTGGACTTTAGACAATTCGTAATGATCAGAGAGTGGCCAACTGTAAATCATCTCTAATAAAACACCAGATAAATCTTAACGTGGAGCCAAAACCCAAAGAAAAAAATAAACTGTACATTTTAAGCAGTAATAACAAAAATAATATTACGCAAACTGCAGTAAATGAATT